ATATATTTCTAAAAAATATATAAACCCCCCCTAAATTCAGAAACCCTAACCCCTAATTTTGAACGCCACCCTCTCGCACTCTCTCTCCTCAACTTTCGCAGTTTTGCACTCATTCTCGCCTCACCACCTCTCCGGCAGACATGCACCAAAGAATACTCATCTTTCTCAATTAGACGAGTGTAAACACGTTCTAAGATGCTTATGGTTGAAAAAGATTAAAAACAAAACTAAGCATAGAGAACTAGTGATTTCACTCTACGCCCTAGCCCCAACCAAAACGGGTCGCGTTCTCCCCACTAGCTTCAAATAACCCCTTAGTTAGCTTCTCATGATTCCGCGAAGGAACCGGAACAAGATATATTTATGTGAAAACATGAGAAGGTCATCCCGACATCTCAACTATGCATGCTCTCTCCATAGGTTTTAAATCTATCTACCTCCACCGATCTTTGATCTCACCCTTCTAAAGTCTAAGGGTCTTTTCAAGGGTTGTAATGTCATGGCAAGAAGTATAGGTGGGGAAACAATTTGAAAAATTAGTGGTATTTCCTAAGTTAAGAAAAAGAGGGGCCCTCTCTTAAAAACAAACTTAGGGGGATCACCAAATTTTCAAACAAACAACCATCACTTCAATTCTCATAACATTACCACACTTATTCAAAGGATAAGAATTTTGACAAGTTTTTTTCTTTTTTTTTTTGTTTTATTTACTTGAAACTTCATTTGATTTTTTTGAATTGAACTTTTCTTCCAAAACATTTCACGCATACTCAATTCATACCCACTTCCATTTTCTCACTCGAAACAATATCAATACTTTTCTTGCTTATAATAAATTCACTCAAAATACAAACCTTACATGCCAAATGCTTCACTAAACTAAGAGGGTAGGGAAAAAATAGGTCATTAGGTTTGTACCGTGGTTAAGGCAAGAAAGGGAAAGTAGGCTCATATTGGTTAGCAAGATAAGTATATGCAAAATAGAAAATCAAATTTGTAACTAAACAAAAAGGAAGATAAACAAAATGAGAAATAGTGCCCTTGTCTTCCCTAAAGTGGCTTGGTCATGATATCGGGAGCTAGAGGTCAAAACAAGGATTAAGATATGCATAGTCAAGGATCCTAAGGCGACACACAACAAAGTGATGAAGGCTAGAACAATGTAACCTCACTAGGAATAAAAACCAAGCAAATACCAACCAAGGGTTTAAAATCCACTATAGAGAGCAACTCCATCTTACCACTTTCCCGTGAACTAAGGTTTCAAATGGCCTCAAAGTTCTTAACCTTGCTACCTTAGCATTAAAATTTGTCAAATTCAACCAAAAAACACTCTCAAACCGTGTTCTCCATCACCAACTAGGAAGAAACAAGCATTTAAAGGCACAACATTTAAGCAATCGAGTCCAAATGTTTAAGCAAAATCCAAAACATATTTTCATCAACTTGCCATAGTCATGTTTGTCAAAAGAAAAGAAAGAAAAAGAAGAAGGAAGAAATCAAACAGTTCACAAATGAGGCATATAAATCAAATAAAATCGCAATCGTCATACAATGATCGTTCAATATCAACATCAATGATCCCCAAGTTCCTTAGAACCAATTCAAACAACCTCGAACCATTCAACTTCCTCCTAAACTAAGCACACCACAGGAAAGTAATAAAAGAGTAAAAAGGAAATATCTCACTCAAACGCTCCTTGAAGAAAAATAAAGCAACCTTACAATTTCACCATTGATCCTTATGTTGCTTCCATTGCTCTTCGAAGCTATAAGTGAGAGAGATAAAATAAAAACAAAAACTATACAAAGAAAAAGGTTAGAGAGAAAGAGAAAGAAAATCTACAAAACAAACCTTGGGCAAAACCAACTACCCAAACTCAAACTCATTATCAAATCATCATCATCATCAAAGACATCATCATCTAACAACAACAAACAACAAGATACCAAATGCTATCAACAATACCAAAAAGCAAGACCAACAACGCAAATCCCTTTGATTTTCCCATGATTCCTTGGTGTCTTCCCCCACACTTACCCAAAAACACACCCTGTTTAACTAAAACACCCCCCCCCCACACTAGAGATGAGCATCATCCTCGATGCTCCATATGCAAATAAAAGGAAAGGGAGGAACCAAAAAGAGGGGGGGAGGGGGAACAAATAAACCAAAAGGGAACTATTGGCCACTAGGGCCGGCACCACCATCATCACCACCCCAACCATCATAAGAGAATCCCGAGGGGGGCATAAGGATCCCAACCTTTGGTGTAACCGGGAGGTAGGCCACGCATAATGACATTTAAAGAGGTCTTGTTGGGATGAAGTCAATTGGTCGTAGGGATTGGGTTGGATATGGGGTCTAAGGTGAGTGGGATCGATGTAGGGGTAATTAGGGTCACCCCTATAATCACTCCCACCTGAGTTCCGATAGTCATAATGGTCGAACTCATCGGGAAACTCTCTCCTAGGCACATTGGGGTCCTTAGGACCCGGCCAATAAGGGTACGTAGGTTGGTTGTCACCCCCCCCCCCAAGATGGCACGGGCCCTTGTTGGGCCGGCACATAAGGATAGTTAATCGGGGACGTGACATCGTACGCTAGCATCGTATAGGGATTGCATTTGAAAAATCATGTTTTGTTGAGAAGAAAACATACCTTGCATGCCAAGTTGCATGCTTTCCATTTGAGCTTGTATGGCCGTTAAGTCTTGTTGGTAGCCTTGTTGTTGTTGTTGTTGTTGTTGATGTTGCATAGGAGGAACCTCCTCCTCATCTTCTTAATCCTCATCATCATCCTCATCCTCCCCCATTCTTGCACTCGGGAGGACACCATTGTCCCTCCTCACCCACCATGGGTTAGTAGTTCCTTCCCTAGTCAAGGAAGTGAAAGCAGGCTTTGAGAGGAGGCAATGGTGCTCAAGAGACACGAGCAAACTAAACACCTTCCCTTTGTGTCGGTGTCCGCAACGAACTTCATGGTTTTTAGTTGGTCAATGGTGAACAAATGATCCTCACCATCACTAGACCCAATGAGGGTGCAAGAACAAAGCTTATCCGTGTGCCCTAACTTCATTGCTAACCTAGTAACCATGACACCACAATGAATCTCCCCGTCTTTGTGCTCCTAACAATGGACTTGATACACTTAATAAATAGGTGACCAAGATTCACCCTTCTACTCAAATCCGGTTGTGTAGCAAGCCATAATATACGAAATTCCTCGGCGGTAATCTTGCCCAAGTCTTGCTTGTTGAATACCATGTACCCAAGAATCCGATGCAAAAGGCGAAGAGCGGGGTGGACAATCTCAGTTGCTAATGAATACTTGGCATTGAATGTATCTTTTCCCGAAATACTCCTCCACCAAGCAAGAGGGTTGTAATCATTGAGGGTTTCATGTTCGGGAAAGAGAAAGTCCGCGTTCAGGTTAAGATCAAGGAATTGGTTGAATTGGCAGAGGTTCATGGTTTCTTTTTTATTGAAGAGTTGAAAGGAGATGGAGAAGTCATTGTCTCCTACTGGCCGGCTCTGAAATGAAGCAAAGAACTCAAAGGTGGGCTCAAGGTAAGTTCGGAATGAGCTATTCACAAATGTGCCAATCCTCAAATTATTGAACAAAAACCAAATATCTTCATCAATGCCGAGTTTGGTGGTGGCTTCTTGGTGATGATGTTTGGTGGGGCGAAGACTTCGAGATTGCAAGTTCTCGTACATGGGTTTATGATTTTTGTTGGAGAATTTTAGGGGTGGAAAAGGAGGTGGTGGTTGCTCATCATTTTGTGGAGTAGGATTTTGTGGCTCCTTTCCACTCTTTCTCTTCTTAGTGCCAAACACCATTGTCAATGCACCAACAAATTCAATCAACAAAAGTCCAATTCAAGCAAAACACCCACTTACTTCACACTACCTCACAAACTACACACCTCTTCACAATCCACCAAGTTACCAATCAACACAAATCAACCAAGAGTAATCAACAACAACTTCAAATAACCACAATAATCAATTAACAATCAACAAACAACCAAGAGATACCCAATTATTCCAACAAACTCATCCATTCAAGAAACATTCATCACCAATTCAAACCGTAAGATTATTAAGATTAAACACCAAAATTAATGCTCAAAATTCAATAAAACTAAAGAAAGAGTGATTAATCAACAAATTAGGACCAAGCACCTTTAGCCTAGCCCCAAGAACAACTTCCCCAAGCAAGCTTCAAGGACCGTCAATGGAGAACCGCAAGAGTGTCGGACCAAATTTGAAGTAAAAATGGTGAAAGCGATGATTTTGATGGAGATTAAGGGAATTTTGTAGCTATTTGAGTGAGAATTGGTAGGATTTTGTGAGAATTGTGGAGTTCGGGTTTGAGGGATTAGGGGGTTTTAATTTCTAGAGAGAGAAGGAGCAATACAAGTCAAATAAGAGAAAAGAGAAATGAGCCTCAACATTTAGAGAAGCCGAGTTATTAAAACCCAGAAATCTGCACCCGCGTCGAACAGAGTTGCGCCCGCGGTTTGCCACCTGTCGCGCCTATGGTGCTCAAGGCCGCGCCTTCTCCCTGCCCGCGGTGCAACATCTACAGGAAGTTGTTGAAATTCTGAAAACCAGGGCACCGCGCCCTCTCCCTTTTATGCTGCGCCCGCGCTGACTCGGAGAGGGCTCTCCTAGGGCGCGGCTCTTGAATAAGGCTTCAAGGATCATTTTTTCACTCCTTCATCCTTACAAAAACCCCTCCTAGCTTCCAAATTCACTCTTCTTGAGATTAGAACTCCTTCAAATCTTCATCCACAAACTCAATGCCCAAAATTCAATTTCCTACAAGAAAAACACACAAGATAAACAAAAGAACATAAGAAAAGAACTACGGGAAAAATTAACTAAATAAACCAAAATAAGAAGAAATAAATGAAAGAAAGGATTAAGATTTCGGGTTACCTTCTGGAAGAGATTCTTTATGAGGTCACTAGCTTGACCATGAGATGTTGTCTTCAAGGGGGTGGCTTAGGATCCATAGGATCAAGCTGAATACACTCGATCAAACCAACTTCATCCTTGCAAAGATAATGCTTCAAACAATGGCCACTCACCATGAACTTATGATCGCCCGCCTCTAACTCAAAAGAACCATAAGGAGTAGTCTTTGAGATCATAAAAGGGCCCGACCATCTGGACTTTAGCTTTTTGGGAAACAAGCAAAGCCTAGAATTGAATAACAACACCTTGTCTCCAACCTTGAAACTCTTGTTCCTTATGTGTTGGTCATGCCACTTTTTAGTCTTCTCCTTATATAGATTTGAGTTCTCATAGGCATCATATCTAAGCTCTTCCAATTCATTAAGCTTAAGCAATCTCTTCTCTTCGGCCAATGACAAATCCATATTGAGCTCTTTGATAGCCCACCAAGCCTTGTGCTCCAACTCAACCGGCAAATGTCAAGCTTTACCATAGACCAAAAGATTTGGAGTTGTGCCAATGGGGGTTTCGTATGCCGTCCTCAAGGCCCATAATGTTTCATCAAGCTTAAGTGACCAATCTTTCCTTGACTTGCTCACCATTCTCTCAAGAAGATCCTTGATCTCTCTATTCGACACTTTCACTTGCCCTTGAGTTTGAGGATGATAAGGCAAACCAACCTTGTGATGGACTCCATACTTCTTGAGAAGAGCTTCAAGTTGCATCTTGGCAAAGTGAGAAACACCATCACTAATTAGCACCCTAGGGACCCCAAACATTGGAAAAATTATCTTCTTGAGAAGCTTAAGCACAACCTTATGATCATTGGTGGGGGAAGGCATAGCTTCAATCCACTTAGTGACATAATCAATCGCCACCAAAATGTATAAATTCCCACATGAAGATACAAAAAGCCACATAAAGTCTACACTCCATACATCAAAAGGCTCAACCTCTAAGATGTTTTATTGAGGCATTTCATTTCTTTTAGTGATTCCACCCCTTCTTTGGCACCTATCACATCTAAAAACAAACTTGTGAGCATCCTTATGCATCGTTGGTGACCATAAGAGAGATTGAGAGATTTTTTACACTGTCTTGTCAACTCCACCATGTCCACCACATGGTAACGAGTGGCAATGCTCAAGAACTCCTTCAATTGCATGATCCAGAACACATTTCCAGAAACCACATTGTTTGAACAAGTAAGGATCATTCCAAAAGTATCTCCTCACTTTCTTGAAGAACCTTTTCTTTTGTTGAGAGGAAAACTCCGGGGGAATGACTCCACAAGCAAGATAGTTGGAAATTTCCGCATACCAAGGGCTAGATGTTGAAGCTATAGCCATAAGAGTCTCAATTCCCATCTCCTCATTGATGGGTACATCATCCTTGTTCTCAAAGGGGAGCCTAGACAAGTGATTCGCCGCATAATTTTCCGCTCCTTTCTTATCTCTCATCTCCATGTCAAAATCTTGAAGTAAGAGAATCCAACGAATGAGGCATGGCTTTGCATACTTCTTGCTCATGAGATAACGAACTGCTACATGATCCGTGTACAATAACCTTTGAGCAAACAAGATAGGACCTAAACTTGTCCATAGCAAACACAACCGCAAGCATCTCCTTCTCCGTTGTTGTGTAATTATTTTGGGCTTCATCAAGAGTTCTACTTGCATAGTAGATGACATAAGATATTCCATCTTTCCTTTGACCAAGGACTGCACCCACTGCAAAATCACTTGCATCGCACATTAGTTCAATTGGAAAGCTCCAATCCGGAGCTTGCACAATAGGAGAGGAAATGAGAGCTTCCTTGATCTTATGAAATGCCTCAAGGAAAGCCTCATTAAAGCTAAATTCAAAAATTTTCTTAAGTAATTCGGTCAAAGGTTTGGCAATTGTTGAAAAATCTTTGATAAATCTCCGGTAAAAATCGGCATGCCCAAGGAAAGCTCTTACTCCCGTGATAAAAGTAGGAGGGAGCAACTTTTCAATCAACAAAACTTTGTCCGGATCAACTTCAATGCCCTTCTTGGTCACTTTATAATCTAGGACAATTCCCTCCTCAACCATAAAGTGACACTTTTCCTAATTCAAAACCAAACTCGTCTCTTAACACCTTTTCAAAATTCTTTCAAGATTGCAAAGACAAGTGTCAAAAGACGAGCCACCAACACTACAATCATCCATAAAAACTTCAATCTCATTCTCAAGCATTTCAGAGAAGATAGAGGTCATGCATCTTTGGAAAGCAGATGGGACATTGCATAATCCAAAGGGCATCCTACGGTATGCAAATGTCTCATATATATGGACATGTAAATGTCATTTTCTCTTGATCTTTGGGGTGGATAGGGATTTGAAATAATCCGGAATATCCATACAAAAAGAAAAAGAAAGAATGGTGAGAAATTCTTTCCAACATTTGGTCCATGAAGGGGAGAGGAAAATGGTCTTTCTTTGTATTCTTATTCAATCTCCTATAGTCAATGCACATTCTCCACCTGGTCACCGTCCGGGTGGAGATGTCCTCTCTTCCTTCTCCCTTGATGATGGTCATTCCACCTTTCTTTGAAGCCACGTGAACTGGCCTAACCCACTTGCTAACGGAGATAGCATAAATAATGTCCGCTTCATGTAATTTCAATATTTCTTTCATGATAACCTCTTGGAGGTTGGGGTTCAATATCCTTTGAGGCTAATTGAGATGGATTAATCATCCTCAAGATGGATTCAATGCATGTACAAGGAAGGGCTAATACCCTTAATATCATCAATGCTATACCCTATCACATCTCTATATTTTCTCAAACCAACAAGCAATTTTTCCAAATCAAGACCATCTAGGATAGCATTGACAATAATAAAATATTCCCCTTCATTACCAAGATAAGCATATTGCAAAGAGGGGGGAAGGGGTTTTTTCTCTACCTTGGAAGGAGGCTTTGAACTCTCCTCCATTTTCTCCTCCTTTTGCTCAAGCACAACCTCTTGTTGTTGTTCAACCTCTTCCTCTTTGGGAGCTTTTTCCATGGCCATGCCTAGCTCTTTAGCCTCTTGTGAGTAGTACTCTTCCTTGTATGAAAGAGCTTCAACCATAGCATCATGGGGCTTCATCATTACCCTTCCCAAGCGATCCAACTCTTCATTCACAACATCCACTCTATAACATTTCTCAACCATGGGAGTATTGAGCAACTTAGAGAACTCAAATACAATCTTCTCATTGGCCACTTCACATGTGATGGTGTTGTTCTTGCAATTAATGACCGCCCTCAAAGTTTTAAGAGCTTCACAACCCAAGATCAAAGGAGTATCAACATCTTCCTCCATATCCATCACTACAAAGCACGAGGCACGTAGATGTGCCCTACTTGAATGGGAACATCCTCAAGTTCACCGCAAGGTAGTTTCACCGAACGGTCGGCCAATTGAATTGTCTTCCTTGTAGGGATCATCTCAATGTTAAGTTTGTAAGCAATGGATAGAGGGATCAAACTAACACTTTCTCCAAGATTGGCTAAGGCACCTCTAGCTTCCATGTTTCCAATTTTGACCGGCAAGGTAAAGCTTCCCGGGTCCTTTTGCTTCTTGGGCATCTTATGTTGAACAAGTGCACTCACTTGATGGGGAGGAGTGATGAGCTCATCATTAAGCTTCCTCTTGTTGGTGAGAATGTCTTTGAGGAACTTGGAGTATGAAGGCATTTGTGTGACAACTTCAAGGAAAGGGAGATTGATATGCAAACTCTTCATCACATCAAGGAACTTTGCAAATTTTTCATTCAATTTCCTCTCTGCAAGCCAACCGGGAAATGGGACTGGTCCATCAAGATTCCTAACATCACTAGGAGTCGAAGTTGTCTTCTCTTCTTAAAGCTTCTTCTTATCAACACTCTCTTCTTTCTCAACAACATTTTCTTCCTCAACTCTCTTATCCTCGCTCACACTCTCTTCTCCTCCCTTCTTTTCCTCACTAACCTTCTCTTTTAGACCTTCATATGATGTTCCTGACCTTAATGTGATTGTCTTGCAAGAGTTGGGTTTCATGTTGTGAGATGGGTTAGGTTGTGGTTGTCCGAGTAGAGTAGAAGGTAAATTGAAGGATACTCTTTCGGCCAATTCGCTAATTGAGAGTCCACCACCTTGTTATGGGCCCTGACCTTTTGCATTTTTTTACTTTGGGTTTGGAGTTGTTGGCCAAAGTTTTGTAGTTGTTGGTTCATGGCTTAGAGGAGTTGGGTTTGTGTTAGATCCACTTGAGGTGCTTGATCTTGATTCTTTTGAGAAATTTGGTTTTGATTGTTGTATTGGTTTTGGTTGTTGTATTGGTTGTTTCTAGGGTAGTTTCCTCTTGGATTTTGGTTTTGAGGTAAGGTGGGTTTTGGTATTGAGGGTTGGAATTGTAAGATAGTTTAGCTGGTTGGTTCCATTGTTGGGGTTAAGGTGCAAATCCGGGAGGTGGTAGTTTCCATACATGATACTCCACCTCCATTTCCCCAAAATCCATCTTGCCTTGTGTTATATGCCGCCACATGCTCGGGGCTCAACCCTCCACAATAAGAAGTATTGCGGTTTCTACCACCACAATTTTGACAAGAGAAAGAATGGACTTATGAGGAGCTTGTCCCACTATTTTAACACTCGTGTTTAACTTAGCAAGCCCTTTTGTAAAAAGCTCAATTTGATGTTGCAATTGATCAACCTTCTCCAATTCATACATCCCACCTTTCTTGGGTGTATTCGTCCTTCTACCACCCCAAGAGTAATTCTTAACTACCTCTTTAATTGTAACTTTAACTTGATTTTGGGGGATCTTGATCAACTAACCACCTGCCCCCGCATCCAAGTTAGCTCTAGACATAGGTTCCAAACCATCATAGAAGAATCGCAGGAGCAAGCTTTGATTGTATTCATGGTGAGGACATTCTTGTACCAACTCTTTGAACCTTTCCTAAGCTTCACTAAGGCTCTCATCCTCTTCTTATTCAAATGATCAATCTTCCTCCTCATTTCGGTGGTCTTCTCCTCGAATATGAACCTCTTCAAGAACGCCTTGACTATCTCCCTCCATGTTGTGAGAGAATTTGGCTTGACTTGCTTAAGCCATTTCTTAGCCCTACCCGAGATAGATTGTCGAAATAAATGCATACGGATGTACTCTTGAGAAACTTGATTAGTTTGAATCATGGCATAAAACTCAAGAAATCTATTAAGGTGCTCTATGGGATCTTCACTTGGAGAACCCGAGAATTGCTCCGCCTGTACCATCCTTGTGTATTGGGGATGGATTATGAAATTGGTTTCCGTAACGGGTAACAAGATACCACCCGTGAGCTCATAGTCCCCCGGGTTTCCAAACTCACGAAACAAAACATCCTTTCTTGTTTAGCCATTGCCTCACTTTGAGAACTTGAAGACCA